GTGTTTATAGTTATTACTCCATTGTTAATGTGTTTATAGTTATTACTATATTGTTAATGTGTGTATAGTTATTACTCTATTGTTAATGTGTGTATAGTTGTTACTCTATTGTTAATGTGTTTATAGTTATTACTCTATTGATGTGTTTATAGTTATTACTCTATTGATAATGTGTTTAGAGTTACTATATTGATGTGTTTATAGTTATTACTCTATTCATTATGTGTTTGTATTTATTACTCTACAGTTTATATTTGTTTGTCTTTATTACTCTATTGTTTGTATGTGTGTATATTTATAATTTCCTTTAAGATTAATAACGTTCCATCTTATCTTATAATATTATCTGGTAACTTTTGTGGAGTGATGTGTCTCATGTCAAACTGATGGACAGTGCAGTGTAGTTCTTCAGGGAGAACCACGTGATCAAAGAGGTGATTTAGTGCTTCACTTCCATAAAGTTGTGGACTCACAAGCGTTTGATAAAAACAAGATTGGTCAAAATATCTTGACTTATCTTGAGCCTAAAAAATGCAGGTTCCTACATTTCCCATGATGCAATGTATACCATTTCTCATTAGACCTTTCCTGCCTGGTAAATATCCATGTTTTTCCAGTTTCTGTAATCAATTTCCAAACAGACCTTAAAAGTTATTAGCCACCAACTTAGCATCTCTCCTGCTGGAACTTGTCATGCTGTGAGTGGCAGGCAGGGGATACACAAAAAGCCCCACAGTTAACTGGGTTTAAATAAACCACTGTGAGACCAGGCACAGTGTCTCCAACCCCCTCACCCCCCACCTACCTCATTCCACTGCCCAGCCTGTTTGTGAGGCTTTCAGGCCCATGTGCCCCACATTGCTGCCTCTGAGGATATCCTGGCACCCAACCAAACAAGGCTGATACTAAATAAATAGAGCCTATCAGCTGAGGGGCTCACTGCTTGATCTCCCTCCTGTCAGCATTGGCCTCCAGATGTGAGGACCTGGCCAGTGTCACCAGTTCACATGAATGGGAATCTTTCCTCCCTGTGTGTTGACTCAGTATTATTTATACCCTGTAAATGCTTTGCTGACTGCACTTGGCATCGGGCCACATCTATTCATATTCAAAGTATTTACGCAAGAGGCAGGGCCACAGATAACATTTAATGCAAAATACACCTCAGGGCATACAAAATGTCCTGCTAATTTATTTTTGCTTCAGCTCATGTGCTCACATTTCTGATGGGAATGGGAAAGCCATATTGGGGTTAATAGCTCTGCAGTTTCATTTAATATGATTATTTTGTTTCTATAGCCATGCCTCTCTTCTGATGTCTCTTTGATCCGCTGAAGGAGGAATCAATATTCTCCAAATGGGAGGTCAAAGGTCAGGGTCAGCTACAGAACAGCAGAGAAGAGAACCCACGCCTTCCGCTTGAAGGGTTATGACTCAAACTTAGCTTCCTCTGCAAACTGCATGTTGTCTTCAGGAGGCAATGTCTGGTTCTGAAAAATGAAGAGTCTTAAAGCTGCATTCTCTCTAGTGTCCACCAGGGGGCGACTCCTCTGGTTGTATCGAAGTCTATGAGAAAATGACTCTACTTCTCTCTTGATTTATTACCTCAGTAAACATTGTAAACATGAGTTGATGGCCTCAATCTCTAGTTTCAAGTCTTCTTCAATACAGCATGATGTTCATTTAGTAAGTTATGGTCCATTTAGAGTCAAACAGACCATAAAGCAGGGGATGCTTTAGGGCGGGGCTACACAGTGATTGACAGGTCTCTACCAGAGACGTATAAGGTGTCTCTACGTCACTCCTCCTCAGTCCATATATGGTCACTTCTGCTCACTGGTTGCAAAGAGCCAAGATGGTGTCGGACACAATGCCGAACTCAAGGCTTCAAAACTGCTTTGGTGTTAGTCAACAAACCAATGGATGACGTCACGGTGACTACGTCCACTTCTGACATACAGTCTCTGGTTGTCTGTGATTCAGACATGAAACTACTGATTTTAGCAGATCAACACACCACATGTCTATTATTTCTATCTCATCCTTTGAGGTGTCAGCATGCATTTTAGTTCAGTTGGTGAGAATGTTGGAAATCAGTTGGCTGGGCATGGTTGTGAGCTCCTCCATACGCTCATGCCAATACATAATAGGGTGCTCCACCAATTTTACACGTGAAAATCTTTGTGCAAGAACAAAGACCAATAACACTGAACATCTACACATAATACAGACAGCTAACAAGGACACATGGGGGTGGAATGTGTCTCAGCAGATTCAGGAATATTTCCACCAAGAGGATTTAATCGGAGCGGGAGATGATCTGAAGTTACACTGAGAGCGAATCCTAAACAGCTACTCCGCTCACACGCCAGCGTGACTGCTGGCTAGATGGACTTTAGCTGGGTGAGAACTATAACTCTGAATGACTCCCATGAGGACACAAGGGAGCCATTCTTCACTGAGTCAAAGGTGTCTAACGACTAACAAAACCCTTTGCTAGTCAGGACGCCAGCACCAGAACTACATTTAGAGACGCACCAGTACTTTCAGAACCAGTACTCTAGGTGACCCACACACCCATTCACAGGGGTTCTAATGTTAGTAAGTACTTGCAGTGGGTGGGGTGGAGGCAGACAGTAAGTTGTACCATGAGTGAAGTAGAAGGGCACAGACAGAGATGACCTCCTTGGTCCTCAGCTATCTGCTGGATATTCTGCTGGAGCAGTGACGTCAGAGAGCTAGAGGAGGACACGCGCTCATCCACAAGAATGTTCCAAAACAATCACAAAGACTCGAGGTGTTTCAACTTCTCACTCAAGTAACATCAGTGGGATCACATGCACGCAGACATGCACGCGCAGACACACAAACGCTTACTCTCTGCTGGGTAGAAAGGCTGCATGTCGACCTTGTGCACCTCCTTGGCGTAGTACTCCTCCTCGCTCCGCTGCCGCTCGCACGTCGCCGCGCGCTCGTTCGCCTTCTCCTGCAGCAGGTCGCGGGTGCTGTTGTAAATGGCCACGATGTCCCGAGACACGTCCTCGGGCTCGGGGAAGTCCTCAGGGGGACTGGTGAGCTTCAGCTTGCTCAGGATCTGCCCTCGGATGGCCTCGATGCGCTTCTTCTTGAACTGGTCCATGTCCAGCGTGCTGCATGTGGACAGACTGAGCGCCACGGCGGCTAGATCCAGAGTGAGGAGAAGACTGACGACACACAGGTTCATCTTCTCTTCCGACGGCTTCCAATACCAAATAAAAAAAACAATGTAGGAAAATATTCACCGAAGTGATTTAAACTCCGCCAGGCAGACTCATTTCTGAGCCCAATATCATGTATGACCACGAGCCGAGTGGCCCCGAACAGCTACTTGTAGAGCGTATGGTTCAAATTCCCCCGTTTCAGTAAAGTGTACCTGAAAATCCATTCAACTGTGTGGACAGAAGGAGAAGCCGCTACTATCGCTGGCAGTGTCGGTGCAGCAGACGTCTGGGTGGAAACAGGGCAGCTGAAGACAGGACCGAGCTCACCTCCATCGCGTTCACTCCCCACACGGTACACAGTCGGTCTATAATCATCCGAACTCAAACGCGGTCCCGAAGATCAGCGGGGACGCAGCGTGGGAACGTTTTCAAGGTTTTCTGACGCGCTGAAATCAGAAATCCTTACAAAGTTGTGATTTCACGATGAGGGAGTCCTCCTTCACAAGTAGCTCACAAACAGCTCGGAGTTTGGCTTCGGTGTGACTGCATAGCGCTTTTACGCGTCTCCCTCAACCCATCTAGTTGGGGGACGGCTCGTGCCAAGCGGACAGCAGCGGCTGCTTTATAGGAGAATCATACGGGACGAAAGTTCCACGTGCTCCCCCTCTGGTCTGCAGTCTTCACTGTCGGAGAAGGGGAACCTTCAAATCCACATTATCAGACGGTTTGTTGTGAATAGGAGCGCTCACTGTGCCCATTGGGACAGCTCTGCAGCGGCGAATGGCCCGTTGGCCCCTGCTGCGTTATGTGTTTACGCTGGGTCCTAAAGCCGGTCTGCGCAAGTTCTCTGTCGAGTTCCTCTCTGCGTCACATTGGTGTCCAATTCCAGTTCCATTTTTCTGCAGGTGTTGGAAGCTTGCCGTGCTCCGCACTCAGAATGTCACATGTGTTTGTTGTGTACAGACTGAGCTATTGTGGTTCAGTAATGCTGCCTGCATACGCGCCATGGTTTCATCACGTGATTAGTGCACTTTAGGTATACTGTCACTCAGTGGCGGCTGGTGGAACATGTTCTCTGTAGGGCTGTGCCACATCCAATCAATTTCAGCAAACATCCCAGAATGATTTAATGCAAAAAAAATCAAGTTATCAAACACGCGTTACTACTTTGCAGTTAAATATTTAACATTTATTCCAACACGAACAAAAGCAGTAAATAATACTTTGATAAACATGTCAGGACATCTTATTTTAGTCACCCTCACAGGCAATTCAGTATAATATATATATATCATATAATAATATTCAGTATAATATAATAATATATATATCATATAATAATATTCAGTATAATATAATAATATATATATCATATAATAATATTCAGTATAATATAATAATATATATATATATCATATAATAATATATATATCATATAATAATATATATATCATGTAATAATATTCTGTATAATATAATAATATTTATATCATATAATAATATATAAATCATATAATAATATATATATCATATAATAATATTCAGTATAATATAATAATATATATATCATATAATAACATTCTGTATAATATACTAATATATATATCATATAATAATATTCAGTATAATATAATAATATTCTGTATAATATACTAATATATATATCATATAATAATATTCAGTATAATATAATAATATATATATCATATAATAACATTCTGTAAAATATACTAATATATATATCATATAATAATATTCAGTATAATATAATATTCAGTATAATATACTAATATATATATCATATAATAATATTCAGTATAATATAATAATATATATATCATATAATATTCTGTATAATATACTAATATATATATCATATAATAATATTCAGTATAATATAATAATATTCTGTATAATATACTAATATATATATCATATAATAATATTCAGTATAATATAATAATATATATATCATATAATAATATATATATCATATAATAATATAATAATATATATATCATATAATAATATTCAGTATAATATAATATTTATATCATATAATAATATAATATATAAATCATATACTAATATATATATATATCATGTAATAATATTCTGAATAATATAATAATATTTATATCATATAATAACATTCTGTATAATATACTAATATATATATCATATAATAATATATATATATCATATAATAATATTCAGTATAATATAATATATATATATCATATAATGATGTAATAATATATATATCATAATAATATTCAGTATAATATAATATATATATATCATATAATAATGTAATAATATATATATATATATATCATATAATAATATTCAGTATAATATAAAACACACACATATATATAATTATTTATTTATAACTATATATCATGTCTCAGCAGGTGCTTCATGTCTCTCACTCCCTAGCTGTCCGTGCTGGATCTGTCCCCGTTGTTTTAAAAAGCTAAATAAGTTCCCGCTAGTCTGCTGTCTGATTGTGAGGTCAGGCTGATCTGGGATCAGCTCGTTCACTGCAGTTTCTCCGCCAAAGTTCTCCTCTCAAACGGGTCTTGGAGGAGTAGTGCTCGCGCCGGCGCTCGCCTGTAGAACAGAGGTCTTCAACAGGGGGTTCGCGGCCCCTAGGGGGTCCGTGAAATGTTTTGGTTGATTAGACAATTAAATTTTCTTTCTCTAAACATGAATCTGTCCATTATTTTAATAGTTCAGTATTGTATGAAAGATAACAGGTATCTTTATGCATGGCAGTGGCACTAATAGGCCATCACACATTTTTCGTTTCCACATTTATGTTTAAAATGAAAACATCAATTTGAATAGCTTGTATGCATGATTATCATGCAATTGACAGACAATGGTGATATTGGCATTGGTATCAGCTGACAAGGTATGTTTATAAATGGCAGTGGCACGGCCTCCCTACTCACTGTACCTTGCACATGTTTAAAATAAAAACATGAATATATGAACCTGTGTATTATTTGAATAGCTTAGTATTGAATGCACAATAAAGAGGTATAAACCGTCACCAGACTGTATAAACATGACTCAGCCTCCGTGACGTCACCCACAGGCTTCTAAAGAGCCAATGGGGAGCTCAAAGTGGGACGGCTCTGGCCGTCTTCATCTTGGCAGTGAGGACACAACCGAAAACCCGGCCAATCCAAAAATGGGCAATGAGGGTGTTTGGAGCTGAAGCCGAATGAAGCCTGCCGCAAACTAGCTCCAAACTAACAAGCCAGAAAATGTAATGATGAAAAAACATACAAAAATTGTAAAATAAAATAAAATAAAAATAAAAACTACCAATGTCCGGAACGGGTAGCCTCCCTTCAGAATACAGGAACAAAAACGTGAGGTGCCGTGGGTCCTCACGCCCGTCTAGTTCAAAGTGCTCGTTAGCATTTAGATGCCCGTAGCCATTCAGAGGCAGGGCAAAGCCAGGCCATTCGATTTACTGACAAAAAATATGATGTACAATTGTGAGTATTATTTTATACTTTCTACTCTCTGAAGGCTGCTGGGGCTGCCGGATTTGTTGTGTGCGGATTCAAAACAAAGACTTCACATAATAAACTGTACTTTTCTGTCTCTATTAACGCTTTTTTTCATGTCTCTTCCTGGTTGTTGAACTGTTGATGTCACGTTGTGTTCCAGGTGGTACGGCATCGGCCTGTAGTGGAGGCAGTGTTGCTAACATTAGCAGAGCTCACAGCGATGGTAACCTCTCCAGCGTCTGCTTCCATGTGTTTTTATGTTCCATCTTTAACCCTTAATGTTTCTGAGTAACTTGAATACACCAGGCTAAACACACGTGAGCCGTCTTCTTTGATTACCTTTTTGTTACGTTTCCACTGGTGACCCCGTGTTTAACGTTGGTTCCTTTTGGCAAAGTCTGCATCTACTGCTGACTAGCGGAAAGTGTTCATAAAGGGCTCAACATGTCAGTTAGAGATGATTTGACAGTGGGACAGAACTAAACCCTCACGGGAGTGGAGGTTGGGATTGGGCCTCAGACTGATCTTTCTCACTTCCTCACAGTGACAGGATCTAACATGTCAGGTTGAATGCTGATTGGCTGTAGTGTTTGACAGGCAGACCTCATGTCATCTATCTGAGACAGGATTTAGTTGCTCTATGACATGTGAAGTCTTCCAGCAGCAAAGGGGACAGAGCAACAAAAAAAAAGTATAATTTAAAGAAAAAAAACTAGTGATATAATAAATAATGAAACTGTGGAAAAGCTAAATATAACTGAACAGTTAAATTTTCATTATTGCACATAGGAAACATTGATATTGATGTTGCACATAAGTGAATTGTCAGCTTCAGAAAGAATGCACAGGGCAAAGTATATGATACCTTTTTTGTTTGCCATCTGTGTAATATTGTACTTTCATCACAGCAGACGTCAATAGTAACAGCCGTCTCATCATAATGACGCAGTTTAGTGAAAGTGAGGTCGGATTCTCTCAGCACCGTGGTTGTCTTTTCCCAACTCCTCATGAATTCTCCTTCATGACGTTTTCCATCGAGGTCAAGGAAAGTGGCCTTTGTGGACTGTTGGACATTACCAGACAGGACCAGCTCCACACTGGGCCGGCATGGTTTACGTTCACACCCGTTCGAAAAGCCCGGAGCCGGCCACTCTGGGCTCTCTGCATCCAGGTGTGTGTGTGTCCTAATGAGCAGCAGACATGACGTGTTGTACATCAGATCATCAGATGTACAACACTTCCAAGAGTCTTTACCACGCACAGCATGATGTCTCCTGAGGAATAAAATCTTGGATTTCTTTGACTCAGCCACAATTTTTACAGTAACTGACAAAAGGTCCGCTTACTTGTTCCAGAGCTTTTAACTGTAATATGCGGTCTTCATCAGCAGGTGGAGTTTGCTCAGTTGTCATGGGACTGTTTGTTGTTCCATTACATATACTGTTATATAGATGTGAATAATGATTTCATTAGCAGTGGTTACAGTGTCTGGTGAAGGGAATGAGGAGCTGGTACAGTAGAGCTGACGCACGGTGAGGAGTCCACTTCACTGCACCAGGTGTTCTTCTCCATCAGTCATGCTAACATGAACCCAGCTGGGAGCCTCGGGCCCCGTTACAGAACAGAGCTGGCTCACTGATACACACAGGTTAATGGCCACCGTCCTTCTCAATCTAAAGAAAAGGACGGCTGAGCTGGCTGTTTAGCTCTGATATTTCATGTGAGAGTCACAGTTTGAAGCTTCACTCTGTGCTGGTGTCTCTGAGCAGACAGACCATCAACAGGGCCCAGATAAAAGACAGCATACCAGTGTTGCCATGACAGACAATCGTCCAATGTGGTGCAGACGGGCTGACGCGCCCTACTACGCCCACAACTCCCTGCGCACAGAATTCCACGGGTTTTGCCACCAGCGCAGACCACAGGAAGCCCTGCAGTCTATGTGACACCAGTCATGGGTCAGTGTCTACAGGACACAACAGCTGCTCACTTTAAAGGAGCACGTCTGCTGATATCCCAGATCCCAGAGTTAAGCCAACCATAAATCAAGTGTGTGTGTGTGTGTGCCCACAGGATACTTCTTGTCTTCTGTCCATCTGTTTGCGACCCGTCACACAGACATCTACAGGCTGTGTTCAACACATTCATTTCATTAGGTTTTAAAGCCTGATCAAGGAATGACTGTGTGGAATAGAAACACTTCCTGGTAACCAGTTCACAGGATTGGTTGGAACCGCTGCGTCAAAGGGTTTAGACTTTTTCAAGTGGATGTTGACAGCACCCTGACATGCCTTATGTTCATTCAAAGAGTCAAGGGTTGCTGGAATTCTTCCCCCTCTCCATTGTGACCATGAACACATCCCACCTGACACTAAACTGTAAGGCCCACATGGACAGAGACACCACAGAGCACTGACAGCCTTTCATCAATTGGTTGTTTATTCAAAACATTCATATTTACAGAGTTTACAATAATTCAATACTATGATGGAGGAGCTCCTCCAAGTTCCCCCAGAGCCAACATCTGTCATCCTGTTTCCACATGGTTTGTCTCACAGAGTGGCAAAGGGGCGGGCTTGCTACTGGATTTAAGCAGGTCCATACTTCCTGAAGTTCAGCTGTTCTCTGCAGTTCAGGGTTTCTGTTCCACAGAATGTTTCTGAAGGCGTCACAGCCTGCTGTACACAGTCCATTCAGTCTGTACGGACGGTGTCATCCTCCTCTCGGTCACTGTCTTTGTCCCAGTCTTTCATGGTGGCTCCCATCATGAAGTCATCTGAGAGGACACTCCAGGAGGACCGCTCCTCTGCTGCTGCTGCCACCGCCTACACACACACACACACACACACACACACACACACACACACACACACACACACACACACCTTAGTGTAGCTCTGCTCATGTCTCATGATGCTTTCATGAGACAACAGTGACACCATGAGGTGACTCAGTGAAGTCACAGCTCGTTGGACAGAGTGAAGAGTACCGACCCATTCTGCAAAATCAAACACCAGTGTGTGTTTTTTCTCTCTCACTGGTTCGGTGTACAACATGCATGATGAGTCAAAGATCACAGTGACAACTCCTCTGCAGCAGCTGTGAAACATGCCCATTTGCCTGAGATCATTTCATCCATCCTCCTAGTAGACTGATGGATGAGAGAACTTACAGCGGTGTCTTCAGTCCTGCTGCTGGCTCCACTGCCTCCCTCTGTCCTTCTCAGCACATCGATGAAGTCTTTCTTGGAGACGGACGAAAGAAACTTGGCCTTCTTCCTCTCTGAGCCACCAACTTCCTTCACCTTGATATCGATGGTTTTCTGGTGTTTCCTCACAGCGTTGAACAGCTGCACCACGCCTCTGAACAGAAACACACACTGGGATGAGGAATGAAACTTGTTGAGAATGTTTAAACAAAGCCTAACAGAAAAGAGTGGTCACCTGGTAGCAACTCTCTGCAGAGCTCTTTCAGTGTCGCGGTCCTTCACTACGTCAGCTTTCTCTCTGCACATCATCTCCCATGCTCGCTTCTTGTCAACCTGATGGACACAAACAAGTGTTCATGCTGGACAACTTCTCACAAAAATCACCGGACTGCATCTACTTCTGCAGTGTTCCTCCATACAGCTTGTAAAAAATATGATATATACAGTATATTCATATATGCTATGGTCACAAAGATACAAGCATTGGGAGCAGTGGGCTGCTGTGAATATTTCCACAAGTTAAACTTGAAATCTTCCCCCACAGCTGTCCCTTAGGCTGCATTTAGACCCACCGCAGGCTCTCGGTCGTTGGGGGAACCAAAGCAGCGAGCAAAGCAGCCCGAGTGGTCCAGCGAAAGGTTGAACCAGGCTCATCCAGCATGGTGCTACGTCCACCAGCCAATACATGTGAGCACATTCCTGGTAGATGACGTCCTTGTGGCCAGTTATGAGGACATTGCCAGTGACAATATGAACCCATCTTACAGCACCACCTCCCGCCATGGCAGAATGGCTGAAATACACCAAATCCGTTGACGTATGTGAAGTTGACGGATCCCATTCATTTTTATGGAGAGCAAACTAGGCAGCGCTGATCAACACATGTTAATGTACCGTTTAGCAGCCGACCGGATGCCAACAAACGGAAAGATGCGACGGAACCCCAAACGGTCCAGCAGGGGAGCTAGGCTTGGTTCTGGCTCAACTATTTAACATGTCGGCTGGGTCACAAACTCATTTTACAGCTCAACAGTTCACTTAAATGCGTTTCTGAATACATTTGAGGAGAGAAGGGCCATGCAGTATCAGAATATTGATGTATTGTTGGTCAGCGCTGCCTAGTTTGACTTTTTGATGGAGCATGCCATCTTGGATGGATGGACCTCGTTTGCATAAAGTTGAAGTTGGGTCATGGTGATGTAGTTACAGTCAACTGGCCGTGTTGCATTCATCATGCAACGCGCGGCCGGCTCTCTTGCTCTTCATAGAAAAGAATCCGTCAGCTTCACGTACATCAACGGCTTTGGTGTATTTCAGCCATGAAGGCAAGAGTATTCAATTCAACTGACTTAAACAAGATCCAGTTAGAGAGAAGCTCCTCATGCAAAGGTCCGGAACATCACAGTAATATCGAACTTACACTAGGATTCAGTCCCAAATATACCGAAGTAGCCAACGGTTGTATTAACGTCTCTATGTAGTCAACAACTGACCGTCTGATCAAATAAATAAAGAAAGTTCAATTGAATAATATCTCAACAATATTTATAGTCACAATTCAAATTGAACGCGATGATTTATACATAATGCACTTTATTAATAAATAAATGTTCCGTCATTACAAGTAAGATAAGGGCTGGATTAAAAATATAGATTACATAACAGAAAGTTTTTGAAAAATGTGCATCTTGTTTCAGCTCTATTCTCTCTGTTAACTTCATTGTTGGGCATGAATTCATGTGTTAGGATTCTGATCATATTGGACTCTTAGATTTATTATCTGTGACTTCATTTCAGATGTGAGTGGGTACGTTTGCTCAAAAGAGTTCTTTGTCTCTTAGTGGAGCTTCACATTACTGCTTTTAATAATCATCACGGTCTCTGAACATATGAGACATCCTGGTTTTAAACTGCCCGTAGGAAGAATGATCCCATAAGAGTGTTCATTATTGGTTAAAGACTCTGGTCTCTCTGACCACTTCTCTTTTGGAGAACGTCATGTGAAATAACTTCTGACTCGCACATTATTCTCCGACTGTTGACTCTCTCTCTGTGTGTGAATATCTCACTCAAGTCGAGGGTGATGATTATCAGAATACACATATTTGATATCTATGGGTTTTAGGTCCAGGGTCTGGATACAACAGCGTCTGGGTCCGGACCGCCTATTAGTGACCCTGCACTACGGTATCGCTGTCATGATACCTGTATTCTGTATGTACCAGACCCGTTTGGTTTATGCCTAGAGCAGAACTAGTTTTCCCTTTTTACCGTCATTAGATTTCCCGGGAAATGGTTTGGAAGTGTATTCCTGGGAATAAAGACAGACTACCAATGAAGAATGAGACAGCACCAGTGTTACCTGCTTCCTTCTCTCCAGCTGCTCCTGTCTCTCTCTCTCCTTCATCTTGTCCAGCTCTTTGTTCTTCACCAGGATGCTGGTTCTGCTCTCGGGGGTTTTCTTTCCCAGGATCTTCGCCATGGCCTCAGCCCACCCAGCATTGGCGTTACTGCCATCTCCCTCCTCCTCATCCTCCTCCTCCCCATTACTCCCTCCTTCCCCAGCTCCCTCCTCATCCTCCTCCCCATTACTCCCTTCATCACCATCTCCTCCATCACTCGCTCCATCGTCTGACTCTTCATCATTGCTCCCTCCTTCAGAATCCCTCTGGTCCCCAATTTGAGGCTGTGCATCATCTCCTAAATGACACAAATACAAATGTTTTTACATTACTTATGGTCCACCACAAATATGAGATCAAACATCTGTACAATATTCCTTTCTCACAAAAACCCTTCAGAATTTGACTGTTATTTTGAAGAACTAGGCAAAACTCTTTCATTTGGAAACCCATTGTCTAAATGTTTCTGTGGATACAGGTATCATGACAGCACAGGAAACTCAAAACGGGCAATCGCATAGCTTAATAGGTCTAATAGAGCTAATTATGTCTGTTGTCATTGTATTTTTTTCCAATTTTATTGTCTGCCTCTGAAGAAGGAATGGCGGCCGCCAACGAGCCGCTGCAGCAAATACAGAGGGAATATTTTAAAATCTCACTCCGGGAATTCAAGATGTATTTTGACCAAACCAGAGTTTATTGTTGGAGCAGTGGAAAGACTCAGCAAGTGTACTTCTGTGTGTCAGCTTCTCACAGCATGTGATCTATGCTGTGGGGAATGGAGGCGATGCAAGGCAGCGTCCTGACATTTACTTTCTATTTGCTCTATGTCAGATGAAAGAATAACCTAGGATATAACAATGCATCTGCAACACAGTAACTTAACAGAATACACACATTACTACAGTCAGATATTATAAATGCATTGGTTACACATTCAGTCAGGGATTTATTACCAGCTGTCCTTTCTGCATTTGGCAGTTTAAACTATTACTTTCAATGAAGTGTTTCACTTTTAATATGACCGTTCTCGGTCAGTATAGCAGCACTGGGGATGTAGTTCTTCAGTGGACTACATTTACCATGAGCACTGATTGGACATTAACATAAAAGCTGGCGAGTTTTCCCTTGAACGTTAACTTTCTTCCTCCCGTTACAGGTTAGTGCTCCCCTACAGTGCTGCACTTTGTAGAGGATTCAGAAGATCGTCGAGCTCTCCAGCTTTAGTTAAAGCTAGGTAACGTTAGCTGACTACAGAGCTAGTGCTAAGCTAGCTACGGAGCATATTAACGTCTGCCACCGAACAAAGTAACATCCGCTAGCTAGACAACGTATGTCTGTGAGATTAGGAATAGGTGGCCCACACCTTTGTCGTGTTTTACAGAGGTAACAATAGTGAACTGAGTATAAAAACTCACCAGAAGACTGCACATGTGTTTTCATCAGCGCTGCCATCATGGAGTTACAATGAAACGTGTCCGTAGAGTCCAGCTACAACACGTTCCTTCACTACTTCTTTGGTTTTATGGCGTTAAGGCGCATTACCGCCACCTACTGTGTTGGAGTGTAATCCCAATGGCCCTGCTTTGAACCCTCTGGGAATGGAAGATGATTGAGTGTGAGAGACTGTACAGACTTGAAATGGTGTGAATACGTCCAAACACAACCTCCACACTCATGGACTTTGAGGAACACACGGTTTAGTTCTGTCCCACTGTCAAATCATCTCTCACTGACATGTTGAGCCCTTTATGAACACTTTCTGCTCGTCAGCAGTAGATGCAGACTTTGCCAAAAGGAACCAATGTTAAACACAGGGTCACCAGTAGAAGCATGGAGACGTAACAAAAAGGTAATCAAAGAAGACGGCTCACGTGTGTTTAGCCTGGTGTATTCAAGTTACTCAGAAACATTAAGGGTTAAAGATGGAACATAAAAACACATGTGTTGTCCTCATGTGCAGAGCCTGTTTTGCTAATAACCCCTCTCATCCACACTACTACGTTTCCATTTTAATATGCATATCGTTTGCTACGTTTACACTGAGCGTCCACACTATTCTGGAGTTTTAGAGCATTGAAAATGAAGGACTTTAGAAACGCTACCGAAAGCCGGGGTAAGGGTTAGGTTTGTAGTGTGCAAAGGTCGAACCGCATTAAGTTTGAAAGCGATTACGTAGAAACCCACGTTCGCTTCTTGATCGGTTTGTAGCAGTCACGACATTTCCTTCCCTGATTCGTCAGCCTTTTCTGGAAGAAAACAAACCCAGCCTTGATTATCGATGGACTAGTGGTTAATTCAACATGGATGACAGATTACATGCATATCTGACCTTGTTTTCTATACTAGCAGCTGTTGTGCAGTTAGATTCTGCATTTTATAATTCTACTTCTGCCGACATGCGGAGGAAGCAGCTGTTATTGGAGCGGTCGTCTGAAGTCATAGTTTGCGGCTTTGAGATGGGCGATTGACACAGAACGGAGGACTTTCCTTTTCTTATCCATGCTTACTTTGTTCTGCACAACAATTGTGAAGTCCACACAGAATGCTCTCCAGTAGGACAGGGACTTCAGCCACCAGCAGAGCTACGAGTGACAGAACAGACAACAGCGACACGAGGGAGAGACGTTTGTTGACCACATTTATTGACCCATATAGTCAACTTTGATTTAATAAGTGTTCATTTTAAAGTAAATTTGATGTGAGAGAGAGATCAAGACCTGCAGCCTTGTACTAAATTTAAAAAATCAAACTTTCCAAGAAATCTGTCTGTTTGAGTACATAGAGGAAGATATAAGCAACCAATCACCCGCATGTCCAGTGTTTGGTTGATGGGTTTTATTTCATTTTAGGCTGAACTGATGATGTGACAGTGATCTGGTGTCTCCCTGCAATGGTTCAACAAAGGGAATTTGAAAACCAAAACGCTCCTTCCTCTCAGCTCCCTCCTCTCCCCTCCCTCCTCTCACCTCCCTCCTCTCAGCTCCTCCTCTCACCTCCCTCCCCTCACCTCCCTCCTCTCAGCTCCTCCTCTCACCTCCCTCCCCTCACCTCCCTCCTCTCAGCTCCTCCTCTCAGCTCCCTCCTCTCCCCTTCCTCCTGTAAACTTCACTGCCTGACCCTCAGTCCCAGAGCAACCAGCTGTTGATAGAAGAGGAACACTTCGATACACGTTTCCAGGCTCTGGTCACAGATCCAGTAGAATGGAGGACAGAGCCAAGGTGAAGACAAAAGAGAGAACACAACAGCTGCGCTGGCTTTTGTTGACTTGGTGATATCATGGATCAGCTGACAGTAACCAATAGTAACTATAAACGTTGAGTCCGTGGGCGGAGTTCAGGGCTCAAGGATCCCTCGAAGCTGAGTTAAATGACTCAGCTTCCATTTTGAGTGAGGAGTCTCTACCAGTGGTGGGCCGTCAGGGCTGACCTAGACAGAATCACAAAGTTATAGCTATTTTATAATTTTATAATTTCTCATAAATATACATATATTATAATTTGTTTTCCCATTATCTTATTTTCTCATTGCACAGCTCCTGTCTTCCTCAGTTGCTCTGCTTCCAGTGCAACTTGTTTTAAGTAGAGCTTTTATCCAATCAGATTTCACCTCTGTGTCTCTAGGTAAGAACAGAGGCCCGAGGCCTGCAGACTCACAAGTGCATCAATGTGCAGTTTAAGTGAATGGGGACGATGTTGTTGATTGTCATAGTGTTCAACCAATCAGATCTTTAGTTTGACATGTTGGGCGTATTCTTTGACGTGTCAGAGCCTGCTAGCTGGCCAAGCCATACGTGATTGGTCAGTGGGCTAGCGTGACATGTTGGGCGGGGACAATCCCAAAATCTGCTGCCTCTGTTGAGCGGACATTTTCAGCCTCAAACACATTAAAACCTATTCAAGAAATACAACTGGGGAGGCTCAACTGTCTTCACTGGCGTCCATGAATGGAGAAGGACTTCTTACTGGAACTAAAACACACGGATGTACTGAACAACAGTGAGATTAAACTCTTTATTAACAAAGAAAGGAGGATGGACTTTGTCTTTAAATAGTGAACAGCAGCTCTGTTAAGTTAAATGCTTTTGTTTTTACATCTGCAGTAGCTTTAATATGCTTGTTTATATATTATTATTTGTACAACTTATTTTTATGAAGATGGATTTTTGTTGGGTTTTATATGTGATAGGAACTATTGTTATGTCCAATGTTGCTGTGGGGACATATTTAGTCGGTGCCAGTGTTGCCAACTTGGCGACTTTCTCGCTAAATCTGGCGACTTTCCAAACCCTCATTTTTTTGTCAAAAGCTACTAGCGACAAATCTAGCGACTTTTTCTGGTGTTGGAGACTTTTGTGGTGTTTTGACTCCGACATGAAAGCACGTACGTTCTGCACTGTCGTGCACGAGCAGCGGTTGCTGCCGTGAGCCCCTCCGCCGCCCCAAAGCACTCACAGGTTACTCTCACGCAGCAGTCCCAGCTGCAGTCAGCGCAGAGAGGAGACACACTCTCGGCATATTCTCTGCAGTTAGTGTATTTATAGGTGTTGAGCTTCATTTTTACACGAAACAAATAATAACCGTAGCTGTGTTTCAGCTGCAGGACAGCAGTGAAGGCCCAGCTAAAAAATGCACGGCCCGCCACTGGTCCCTACATAAAAAAAGGGCCAGGAAATACATATGGCATTAGGAAATAACATTCTGCTGAAAAGAATAAATGTGGAAAATAAAGTAAAATTCTGAAATGAATAAAACATTTGTCCTTTGAAATATGTCCTTTTTTAAATAATAAACATATATTTCAATAATATTGACTAATTTAAACATTAACATTTATTTATGTATTTCTTTTGCTTCATTTATTAATTTCAGGATTTATTTCATAGCCATATTAATTTTTTCATAGGCGTGTGTATTTATTTATTCGTGTATGCATTTATTTAACTAATATTGAATGAAATGGCATTCCGTATAAACTCGTTTATATATTGATTCATTTACATTTTATATTTACATTTACTTATATATCGCTTGCCTTGTTCATTTTTTTCTGAATTTATTTTATAGCTATGCATATTTTTCTCTACAGAAGGATACCAGTGCTAAAGTGATTGCCACCTCATTAACATATGGGTTAAGAAATACGGAAATAGATTATAGTTCTTAAAAATTCACACAAAAATAAGTAATTTCTTTCTTTTTTTTTTCTATTTTTATATATTTCTGTGCATATTTATTCATATTCAAATGAACCTGCTCATGTATTTGATAATTAAGGCTTTAATCTTTTTCTTTTCTACTATTTCATTGATACATGTGTTGTGATGGTAGCTTTAGTCCTCCGTACAGGATCACCTGGAGGAAGGATACAGAAAGGACAAACCAATAGTGGGTGTGTCCTGTATGGGCTGCTGTCATATAAACAGGGAGAAAGAAGCACTTTCAGCCATAGTTTGTGCCTCACAGGGTTCTGTCGACTCACTTAGGAACAGGTCTGGAGAGAGCCCGACAAACCTCCAGGGGAAGAGGATTCGTCAGTCCACTGCCCACCTCATGGCACGGACTAAACTGGGTAAAGACATGTCCACTGACTAAATCTACATTTCATTCATATTTGTGTTAATGACTAAGCATTTCATGCCTCTGTAAACTGTGCTTAACAAAATACAATTAGTAGTGCACCCTTCTCTTGGGATTATGCTTCGAGTGCATTTATTTTCAATGACTTTCATTATTATATTTTCACTGCTATGTCTTTTAAGGGGCTACGTGGGGCATACTCTCATGCCATGTGACACAGGTCACATGACCTATTGATGACACTGCCCTCATCACACTTTATACCCTGATGAAGACTTGTTGAGTAGAAACCTGTTGCTCATTCAGAAGTAATAAAAGATTGTAACTCGCATTCAGAGTGCCACGAATGTTTTTCACACTGCCAACTAATGCCAAGACCTTCCTTTAAGAGTAAGCTGGACACTCATTGTTTTTGATGCGTTACTTGACTACTTTCCCAACCCTTGAAAGGCACCAAGTTCCTTCACCCAGTACAGCGCTCCCTGTCCTGAGTTGGATTCACAACAGATAGGAATCAGGGCAGCATGTTGTCTCTGCCGGCTGAACCTGACTAACCAGTCTGTTGGGAGTCTCTGCAGGCGTGTCATGCATTACACATCGTGACTTTACTCACTCACACATGTCATTAGAAAGTCATTTAAGTGGTTAACGAGTACATTTGAATGAAGAAAGAGGAATTCTGTTATTCAAATGAAATCTTTGTCCAGTCATTGAAAGGTTTAACATTTCATGTATTATCATGTAGTTTTGAACAGCAACTGTTCAAAAGGAAATATACGTACTTCACCTGATTATGCTAAAGAAAATAGTAAAAAAACTAGTGCTGGGCAAGTTAACCCGTTAATTTCGCGTTAACGCATTCATTAATTAACGCCGACAATTATTTTATCACGCGTTAACGCTTTTTTTTACATTATAATAATATTTTATTTTTTTTGAAATTGAAAGACAAGAGACAATACATATACATAACAAGATGATGACAAGAACAGTGGGATAAAAGCCAGCAAACATCCTATAGTCAGTAATTTTAGTGCACCTATATGCTGAAATTCATGGTAAACGCATTTAAATGGCACAGATCGGGAGCGAGCGAAGGACTTTGAAAGTTAGCGGAAAGATTAATGTGAGACAACATCCGGTTTCTTCAGACGAACATCCGGTTTTCAGAATAAGATGCCAACAAAGTATGAATTATATTCACATTACGTATAAAACATGCTACCTGCATCTCGTGAACCAAATGTTATTGCCCTTCTGTTCATATAGCAGTACTTTTAAAATAAAAGTGCGCAATACACTACTTTTGAATTCATTATTGAACTTTGCCATAACAATGCGATTAATCGCGATTAATCGCAAAAAATCCATGCGATTAATCGCGATTACATATTTTAATCGTTGCCCAGCACTAAAAAAAACATTAAGTAGATAAGCGACTATTAAAAAATACACCCTGCTACAAGTTATCAAAATACCGTAGAAAAAAGAAACCAAGTAACCAAAGCTCTATGTAACTATTACAACATCACACGAAATAACTTCCTCAGTGCTGAATGGTTTTGTTCTTGTCATGTTTCAGGAGCTAGGAGCCCTTTAATGGAGGCAGCTGTGGGCTTTGCACTGGGAGCAGTGGGAGGCTGCATACTGGGAGCTACAGAGGACCCAGTGGACAAGACCCTGTCGGTGATGACTGCAGCCGGTCCACTGAAACCAGTGGAGGATGAAGTCAGGACAGTGGGTGCTCTGGGGCTGGGGACCCTTATTGGAGCCACAGCACTGACCACGGCCATGACTTCAGTAGTAGCTGGTGTGATTCTGGCAGCAGCTGTAGCCTCAGTGTTTGTGGGCACGCAGAGCTGTGGTACCTCTCACACAGGCCTGTGGGCATCAGCAGGACTCGCTGGGGCCTTCGGGACCACTGTCAGTGGAGCCACGCTCGGGGTCTCTATCGAATGGATTGTGAAGAATTATGGCATGGTGGGTCTTCTGTGGGCGCTGAGCATATTCGCCGTGCTCAAACCGCTTCTGCACTTAGTATTTAAGCTCCTCTGGAAGCAGGGAGAGGCCTGTTGCACTCTGGGATCTAAAGACTGGGACAGCAAGAAGAAACACACAGAGATTACAGAGTTGCAGCACAGGCAGAAGGTGGCTCTGCAGACAGAGCAGAGGATCCTGACACTGGAGAAGGGAGGCAGCGCCAGCGGGATGGAGCACATGACCACATGGGTCACTGAGCGAAGGCAGAGAGGGGAGATAGAGAGGAGGAAAATGGAGAATGAAGAGGCAGAGATGGAGCAAAGAACCATGCAAGACTGGATCAACACAGTGGTGGTCAAATATGTGGACTTCTTGGCTTTCTCAGGGATTCCAATGACAGTGGTTGCCATAGTAACATCAGGGTTTGGGGTGTTTGGTTATGGAGGCCACCAGTCTGTGTTTATAGTTCTTCTGGCTTTGGTTGCTTTGATAGCCTATTTGCTCCTGAAATCTTCTGACTTTAAGTTCTGGATGTTGATAGGATGCATGGGGATGCTTGCAACCTTTGTCATCGCCATGCTCACCCTACATGCCGGTCAGATGGTCCTAACAACTGCCATGAAGATGCGAGCAGCAGGGCAGAATCAGTCCAGAGAAAACGTCCGTGCTCAAATTAACCACCAATCCTCTCTGGAAGCTTTGAACGCAGCTTTTTTTGCGGCAAAATTATGCGAGTTGGGTTTGGGGGCTGCAGTGGGGGGTCCGCTGGTGAGGCGAGCAGCTGGAGAGGTGAAAGTCATAGTTGGGGCAGCTTTAGTGGCAGGGGGTTTACTGACTGGGGTGGAGTTTTTAGCCCCTGTGCTAGGAGACGGGGGCAAAGCGGGGGCGTTGCTGGGGGTGGTGGGGGCAGCAGGGGTGTCTGTGGGTGCAGCGGCAGCTGTGGCTGGAAGGTGGTCCTCATGGCCAGGAACTTTGGGAACAGTAGCAGGGTTGGTTATTGGAGCATTAGCAATGGGAAAATGGCATATTGTCAACATCGGCCTGCAAGTGCCTGTGGCCTATGTCTTTGCTATGACCAATCCATTTTAACACAACTCATGATCCTATAGGCCTACTGTGAAAACTGTTGTCAATGCACTATGAGGTGCCAGTGTGTCATTTGCACTAGTTGCCTGCTGACTCTACTTTGAAGGATAAGTGTGGTTGTATTCAATATTTGTCTTACAATCACAAATCCTATGTAGTGTCCTACTAATGTGTGTATCAAAGCCTCTTCTTATAGCTTCTTCCTCTGTGACATAGAGCTCCATTGTTGTCTAAAAACTAGTAAAACGCATCAGTGAGCAGCACTGTTGTACTGAGTGACATGTTCCTTCACTAGTTCCTTTTGACTCAATCCCACATACCTGCTGTACAAATACCAGAGCACCATGGATGAAAATGAAAATAGTGACCAATAAACTGTTTCCTCCTGCAGCTGATGATTATTTCCATATTGAAACTTTTACAGATTTACATTAGTAGCAACCAATGAAGTTGGGACTGAGAGCCTTCAAAGTCACAAAGTATTGAGAGACAGATGCACTTAAATAAAGAATAACACCAGACTGGTCATTAAAGCTTACCTCCAGACATTTTTGACCTGGTTCATATTTAGCTATATTCTATTCTATGTACCAATCATTTTTGCTAATTCTTGTAAAATCCTTCACTTCATGAACAGTTCCATTCTAAAATCCAAATCTATTCTTTTAGGCCATACTGAGAGCACTACATACTGTCATATGACACAGGTCTGGAGATCAGGGTAGCTTAGTGACATAAGATCCAAGCATGTAAATGCAAAGGTAAAACAAATACCATCCACCAATCACCCTTAGGGATTTAACTAAATACACCTGTGTGGGCCTGAATGAAGGTCTAGTCACCAACACCCAGCCAGATGTCGTAGTCTAAGTGTAGTGGAGCAGTTGAAAATGCTTTAGAAAAAGCTTGAAAGAAGGAATAAGACTGGATGAAGGATGCTAGGATGAAATTGAATAAAGTTTAGAAAAGGGTTGTAAATGAATAAATGTCTTTATATTGAGGCTTGGGGAGGGGGGACTGTTGCCTCACACCAAGAGGGTTCTGGGTGTGTAGCAACATATGTTCATCCTGTGTCAGTATGGGTCTTCTCCGGGTCTTCCGGCTTCCTACTACAGTTGAGAAAATATATATAACAGTTTCTTTTGATGGCTTGATGATCTGTATTTTGACATGTCTGTATCCAGGGGCCGATTGCATTATAATATCTCTGTGTATTGATTGATTGATTTAATTGAAAATGTTTATCTTTCCAGGCAAAGATTTGCCTCAAATTTTCACATTCCAGATTTCATTTGAAGGCTCCATCTCAAATGTCATAATACGTGAATAAAGAGAATGCTATGCATGATATGAGTTTCTGTTGTCCAGTTCCACTAAACCTTTTCCTTAAGCATGCCTGAGAGAACCATTCGTTATTCCATTGGTAAAGGCTGCCACTTCTCCTTATACAATGAATTAGGCTCAATTTGATTGACAGCGAAATTACTTCTCACATTAGCTTCAGTATTTTACATATAAAACAGCCATGTGAGTTCACAGTCTCTCTCAGGCACCTTCAGGGAACATGGATGGGAATTCTTTGAAATGAATGGCAGTTTATGACTTGACATCGGCCTAAGAGGGATGGATACCTTTACGACACATCATCCACCTCCACTGGCCCCGTCCCACAACGGATCCAGTTCAAAGTCCTCCTCACTCACAAAGCCCACCATAACCAGGCCACCTCTATTACCAGCCCCCACCCCCCCAGCGCACCGACCTGCTCCACCATCACACTTCCTATAACCTCCGCCTCCACTGATGCCAGCCTCTTGTCTCCATCACTCAGGACCTGGGGCCACAGAGCCTTCTCCATATGTGCCTCCTCCCTCTCTCCCAAACCTGTTCATGTAGATTATTAGTGTGGTGTTTTATATGATCATATGAACTTGTGGTAAGTGTCTTTGAGTACTATGAAAACTGCTCTATTGATCAAATATATCATTATCATCTTAAGCAGTGTGTGAACCTCCAGGTACAGGTGAAGAAAAGAAAAGTACAAAGGAATTCATACTGTGTCCCTGGTGCCGTTCGATTAGAGAGAACATGAATAACTTCATCATTAGCCACTCAACAATTTCTCTTCACATGTTCCCAATGCAACTATTTCTCAGTTTTCTCAAAATGTATACATTTACGTTAATTAAAAGCATGGTCAATATGGTCACTATGTGTTATTTTCTTATATGATTAGTCACTAAACCACTGATATTAATGCAGCACCATTATCATACTCTGCAAAAATATGAGTGAAAATAATGTCCAATGAAAAACAATACTAAATACAAATGTACAAAACCAATATGCAACACCACATGTCACCAAAAGACCACTTTTCTGCCTCTTCAAGCTGTTTCCTGTTTTATCACATGACACAGAGCAGCCAGTCACATGACCTCAGCTTACCTTAACAGGAAGAGATAGACGTTGCAGCTCAGGGGAAAGTCCAGGAAGAAGGAAGGGCAGTCATGTGCCTGCACTAACAGAACGGACACCGACTGTTCAGACTAGCCGTGTGCAAGCTGAAGTTTCAGGTAAACAGGTAGGAGACTGTCATTTTCATAATTGTAATAATGGCTTTTCAGTAATGTAAAGATCTTGAATAGACCTTATTAATGGTGTGTATTTAGCTAAACAGGATCTCAGATCTCAGCTGCTTGAGTGTTCTCTGTATCACAGAGCTGCTGTGGTAACATTTCTTCTCTTGCCAAGATATCATATACTCTTCATGTAGTAATAAGGAAACGAGACATATGGTGGATGGTGTCATCTTATTGAAGAGCTGCTTATAAAGTCATTTCATCTTTCTGCTCTATCTACAGAGCTGTGTTTCCCGTGGTGATCTAAATGTTAAGAACACTTTCAAATCTCATATTAATCCTAATTGAAGTTTAAAAACTCATTTGATCTCATTTTAAACGTATGGCACATTCAGGAGTTTTCCTAATTTCAAGATAAATCAACTTAAAGGCTATTTATACGACATTCAGAGCATTAATATCTCATCCAACAACTATGATCTCTGTAACGATATAGAGGAGTAGTCTACCTGAGCAGAGAATGAAGTCTCTCTCCCTCTGTGTTGTTGTCACAGCTTCTCCTTGATGTGCTGACATAGCTGGCCGGCTGTGTGCCATTTAGTGCATGTTCGTACCACCGCTCTGCGGCTACCACGGATAACTCTGACCCAAATGACAGCGTCCTTGTGGAAGCGTAGAACCCAGCCTTTGTCAGCACTGTTAGCGCATTAACACCTTTAGCTGCGATTCACCACCTCAGCCATTGCTGTGTTGAAAGCTGTTGAGAGGCAATTGTATTGCTCTGAATATCAAATTATGCACCTTTAAATTTAAGTGAATTTTAGTTTTTATCTTCACATCACTTCAGTAACATATGAACCTGAGCTGCTATGACATAAGTTGAATAAATGTTCTGCTAAGAGTTGACTTAACTCATTAAATTGTTTTGAAATGAACATGATCAGCATATGACCTGCTTCTCAGCATGCGTGTTTGAGAGTTAAACCCATACATGCAGTGTCCAGGCAACGTGATCTCACAAAGGTCTAATGATGCCCTGTGTGTGGAGTCTCCTTGTAAACAGAGTGAACTTATTTGAAAGTGGCTGCTAACAGTGCTGTGGTAATTATGCAGAACACCTAATAAATCTGACAAAAAAAAAAGGAGACAACTGAAAAACCAAGACAAACTAGCAGCTCTCGTCAATGGAAACAGCTGTGTTGACCTCAAACTAACGTGTGTAACTTATGTTAGCCTGACTCACTAATGAGCAAACTGAAAAGGTTTCATATTCTAAAAAGACTTACAGAGAAAATGTACTTGCTTGAGCTAGAAGTGCAGGTGCGAACATTAAAATGTCTTAAGTCATAAGGGACTTGTAATAATAATAACTAGAAAATTTCACAAGAAATTTTGACAGTGTGGCCTCTACTGACCGAAGACGTCGCAATAAATAGCTACACACGCTGATGTTACCGGTAGTATCGTTGAGGTTTGATTGAGATATCGCTTCTCTCTTTTCTGCATCTTAGATTCATACTCTTGCATTGAATCTTGTATTCGTGATGGACAGTCCACAAATGGCTCCCGTCATTTCTGTACTGGACATGTACATCTTCGTTTGAGAAGCCTTTGGAAATTATGGGAGCTAACGCTAAGTTGAGACGAACAAGTTGAGACAAACAATATCAAGTTTATTGTCTTTAATGAATTCACTGAGGAAGTTGAAGCATTTAAGCTAAAGCAGTTGAAGTTGAGAATTTAAAGTCCTGGTGTCATTTCAAGTGTAAGATCTGAAAGCAGTTGAAATTAGTATAAGCGGAGTGACTGAATGATCAGTTGTATTGAAAATGGTAAATAGACTGTACTTGTATTTCTCTTTTCTAGTCTTCCGACCACTCAAAGCTCTTTAACACTACATGTCATCATTCACTCATTCACACCCATTCATACACTGATGACAGCATAACACCATGCAAGGTGCCACCTGCTCATCAGGACTAACTAACATTCACACACCCCTACGGTGTGTGAATGTTAGTTAGTTACAGCTACAGGAGCAACTTGGGTTTACGTGTCTTGCCCAAGGACACATCAACATAGCGGAGCCGGGGATCGAACTGCCGATCCTCTGAGTGAGCCACAGTGGTAGAGCAGGGTCTGCCACAGTTTGTATGTAACACTGAGACAAGTGGAACTAACAGTTGAGGGGGGAAAAGTAGCTGCAATGTCAGTCAGTGTCTGCAAAAAAAGCAGTTACTGTGTCATGTAACGTAAGTTTTGAAAATTCTGGGCAATGCACACTATTGTTGGAATCAGAAGTGTAAAAATAAACTGCCATTTATCAAAAAACTGTAAGAGAGTAGATCTTTACCACCTTGGCAAAAGTAACACATTGTATGTCTGCTTGTGTATGTGACTAAATATTTAGTACATTTTTAATTTGCACATTTCTTCCGTTTTAGAAATGGGGCCCTTAGTGACTCAGCTCTTTGGCCTGATCTCACTCACTGTTGCCCTAGACAACGGATTACTGAAGACTCCCCCGATGGGATGGATGGCCTGGGAACGCTTTCGCTGTGATACTGACTGTAAAGATGACCCGGAGAACTGCATCAGGTATAATCAGTTTGGGAATTTCTGTGATTTCAATTACCCTGAATATTGTGAGCAAAGCTATTGAAGGTTTAATCACTGAGAAGATAAGGGACTGATTGAAACCAATCAACAAAGACAATACGCTCAGATGCTGGAGGAGAGAGAAAGAGGAGGCTGTGTCAGAGTAGGAAACCACACCATGAGGTAGTTTTGATGGGAGCTGTGGATGCTTGCTGTAGAAAGGAGCTGAAACAATGAATCATGCTTTCAGTCAAACCTCATGCTTAAGAGCTTGAGGAGTGTGAACATGAGGTCCATGCCAGGCTACAGTGCAATGAAAGGTTTGTAAGATAGGTTTAGAGCTTTCAAAATGAACGTAGTCAATCATTTTGCTGTTGATGTCGTTTAAAGTGAAAGTGTGAGGCACCGGTAGTTACTTCCATACTACTGAGGTGAAGTTTAGTATTTATACAGACGTTTTGGGTTTAGTGTGATAATAGGCTCACAGCCAATACGCAATCCCCTAAATATGTTATTTTATTCATAGAAAATATTTAGAAATCAATGCGGCCTTGGCCAGTGACTTAACTTTCCACCATATTTAATTGAAATCTTGTTGAAGGATGCAGAAAACTGGACTTAAAAAGTATATCAATGTGTTTCATGCATGGCTGACGAGCTGTGTTCCTTCCCTCTGTCCACCGCGTCCACAGCGAGGCCCTGTTCAGAGACACAGCTGACCGACTGGCAGAAGATGGCTGGAAGGAGCTGGGCTATGAATATGTGATCATAGATGACTGTTGGATGTCCTTGCTGAGAGATGAACATGGGAGATTACAACCTGACCCCTCCAGGTTGGTCTACTTGTCTCACTTTGTGTTCCATTAACATTCATTCAATTGCAACACATTCTCACAGCAATGTGTCATATAACGCAGCTTGGTCAGTGAAAATAAGCTTCATACTATGTGTTGGAGCTATTTATTAGATATTAGTATTTTGTTATTTAATTTATAAGTAGTATTGTTTAATTATTCTAGATGTTTGATATATTAAGATTGTTTTTTCTCTTTAATAGTAATTTGTTTAGTTATATTATTTCTTGTTGTTTGGGTAATTACTGTGGGCACCTGTGGCTATATACAGTATATATGAGTAGACATATAGGACCAGCATGCACTGGGGTGGGCTTATAGTTTTTACCAGCACAACAGCAGTTTTCTTTGTTGTTTTTGTTTGTTTGCTTTACTAAATAAATAAGAAAATGGGAATCCTGCATGGACAATCCACTCTCTTCTGCCTGCGTAAAATACCGACCACGGTGCATCAGTGGCCTTTGATTATTGTTTGTTTTATTTTGATTTATTCGACAAATGGCCACTGCACTATGAGCTCTTTGTAGCCCTCTTGTGTTTAGCACGTCACGTTGACGGCGTGTCTTTTCAAAATAAACTTCTGTCTTCTAAGGAAGTTAGGTTTTGGCAACAACAACACTTAGTTTTAGGAAGAGAACGTGGTTGTGGGGGGGTCGATACAAAAAAAGGGATACCATTTGTATTTCATCAAAGAATAGAAGTGTCTGTGCAAGCAACACTCTACTCTTTGCTTCACTGCTGTTGTCGTGGTGTGTGCATTCAGAGAGCTGACCGGCACATGGTCGCAATGACAGAGGAGCATGTTTGAGCTACTTCACAGCAACATGGTTTAGTGCAGTTTGTGCTTTTGATAAATTATTTGCACTATGAAACGCTTTAAAACATTCATTGTTCTCAACAAATAAATGTTTGCACTTTGTTTACTAAAATACACGTTTTTATGTTTGCACATTCAATTCACAACAACAAACTAAAAAGTGTAGCGTGAAATGTGTCGTAAAACTGGTTAAAAATGTCAATTTGTGAAGGGGAGCGGACAGGCACACAAAACCCTAACTAACGCATTAATGAGTCATCTGAAAAAATAAATGTAATTGTGCGAAGTGTAAATGTTTTTATTTCTGCTAACCTATCCTATCAAGGACAAATTATACTTCCCATGTTTGCATATCTGTGAAGGTTTGTGTGGCATACATTTGTGCATCTCCCCATGGCCTTTTTCTCAAGGTTCTGAGGGGAATTGTACAGGTATGTGCTGACAAACTTGTGTGTCCACTTTCCTGTATGCAGACACCCAATGTAGTATGAAACAAATCAGCTGCTGTCCATGTCATTGTCTGGCTTGGAGTTTATCCAGCTCGCGACCTCCGATTTATTGGTCTCAACCCCTGGTAGGGAGCTGCTGTGTTACAGAATAATGCCACCTTCTGGACTTGTGTCTGCTGGGGCTCACCCTGATGCTCCTCTAGTGCGGTAAAACCAAAACGGAAGCTGTCAGGATTTCTTAAAAGGAACATTTGCCGATTTTCAAGCTTATCTCCCCCTATCCAAGTTTGGTATATCGTGTGAAAACCGTCTGCAGTTGCAAAATCTGTTGTGACGAGGACGCTTGAGGCTGCAGCTGGGATCATGGCTGATGGAGACGCTTCAGAATCTGTGCTGCCATGAGCAAACACTGACTTGCTCTCTGATCAGGAGTGAAAGTAGTTTGAAGTTCTTGCTGGTACTACTGCCCCAACCTTCATTGCTTTCTATTGTTCTCCTCCCATCCCCAGCTGCAGCCTATGCAGTTTTAATAGATCAAATTGAACAGATAAAACAGATCAGATGTTTGCCATGGGTCCTAAATTCAAGTTTGACACACTATCCTCAGGGAAAGGATGCTCTGTCAGTCATTTTGAAGGAAATGGACACAGATGCAGCAGATACACATTTCCTCATGTGCTCTGTCTGTTTTCATTTTACACAACTAACTGTATGTTGACCAAATGTTAGCAGATGGGTTTTCTTGTTGGAAAAGCATTTGTGACAACAATGAAACCCAGAGAGAGAGGGCTGTGTGTGCGTTACTATGCATGGCAGTTTTCCTCCAGACAGGGGTGTGCTGGACACCTTACTCAGGATGCCAAAGATAAACTGGAACAGACAACCAAGATCAACATTGTATTTTTCTAACTGCGTGGTCTTCCTCTGAAGGAGTTCTAGCTACTCAGCAGGCAGCTGGACAGCAGAGAGAGAGAGCGTGTACAGCTGGTATATGAATTCACATCCGACTCAGTGAATTAAAGATTTATTTAGACCAAATAGAGTGGCAGCTTGTTGGAACAGTAACCAAGACGTTTTTCGTGATTTGATTTTGTTTCCGTCCAGTTTAAATAAAGTGTGTTTATGATGAGTTATAAAAGGTTTTAGTTCAGTGTTAAAGAGACAATTCAATTCAAAAGGTGTACCGTTTTATTTTTCGGTTTACATGTAAGAATATTTCCTTGACTGATGTTTTTGTGAGTTTATTTTGTTTATTTGTCAAAAGTAGCAAAATCACTGCTCGCGAGCAATGCATCCTGGTACGTGTAGGCAACGCCGGTACAGCTCTGTAGCAGGAGGGATCAGCTTTCTCCGTCAATGCAGCACGCAGGGGGGGAATTTATTTCTTCAGTGATCTACAATTACCATCAGCGCTGATTGGACATCCACATAAAAGATGGCGAATTTTCCCTTTAAGTACAAATGGGGCCTGTTTGACTGAAACATCTCAATAATCAGGGGTCATGGTTGAATCAGCTCCTTGGAAAGTAATAGTTTGTGCTTGTTTCCCTCTAGGTTCCCAGGGGGCATTGCAAAACTGGCAAGGTATATCCATGACCGTGGATTGAAGCTGGGCATCTATGCAGACATGGGCACTCACACATGTATGGGATTCCCTGGCACCACACTGGATAAAATCGAGATCGATGCCCAGACCTTTGCTAGTTGGGGGGTAGACTATCTGAAGTTTGATGGCTGTTCCTCAAATCCTGTAGAACAAATGCTGGGTAAGATCATACTAACCAACTAAATGGCATGGAATGAAATCATTGAAAACCTAGAATTCTTAAGTACAATAAGCCACAAGAGATGGTGGACAAGCTATATTAAGTGTTTTCATGTGTCGCACAGGTTACCCTCTGATGTCCAAGGCTTTGAATGCTACAGGCAGACCAATGGCCTACTCCTGTAGTTGGCCTGTCTATATTGGAGGCCTTCCCCCTAACGTGAGTGTCATCCTCACACCAGCTGATGAGTCATTGGGACTTGGATTTTTAATGCCAATATTGTTATTTTCTTTTATGTTCTTTATTTATTCACCTATTGGTGCACTTCCATCCCCTCGAATGGAAAAGACAGAAAGTGCACATAGGTCTCTCTGAGCTGGTGTCAGGACTAGGAGTAGTGCTGTCTTGAGAGAGATTTGTGCTATCAGCTCAAAAGGGGGACCCCAAATGCGTGCAGCACCAGCGGAAAATCCACTGTGGTCATCACAGTGGGATTTACTGATTTACCGACCTGCTCCACTGGATGAACCTACCACTATCACTTATGGGCAGATAAGCCGCTGTACAAATGCCAATACTTCATGAAATATTTTCACAATGATTCCTACTCAACACACCCTCACCTGGTTCAAGAATTAAACTGGCCACTCTGCAAAAACTATAAACACAAGGAGGACTCGAAGCCTGACATTTTTTCCATTACTCTTTGGCAAATAAACTTCAATAAATTTTCAAATGGGTCCACCCCAATCAATCAGAAAACACAAAGTTATATGTAGAACAAAGAGTTTGTAAAGAAATTCACATTTCAGATTCATCATTATCTATTAAACACCATCCTTGTTTCAAAACATTTACAATAGGAAAACTCTGACAGCCTGGTGGAAATTCCACAAAATCATACTCGCCACTTTAGTACCATCTAATTTTATTCCCATCTGAAACAATACTGATTTTCTAAGTAACAAGAAACCACTTAATTTCCACACATGGGCCAATAAAGGCATCACACATCTCAAACACATTTCCGTAATACGCTATTTTAATTCCTCCACCTAGTCCAGAACTTTGGGAGCAAACAATTTCTGAAATATCTGCAACCAAAATCATTGGTTTAAACTAAATGTTACATTATGCCCACCCACCAACCTACATCTTCTTCCCTCAACCTCAAAATTCAGAAATCCCTTTCCCCCCCAAAATCCTCTCCACAGTATATAGAATAATATCAGTCTGACAAAACACTCTCCATACCATCAAGAAAAATCACTCCTGAGGCCGACTTCTGGAACCAAGTTTACAAAAACATATAGTTCATGATTAAAACGGCAACCTACAACCCAAACAGTATAAGATACTCCACAGCATTCACTACACTGGCCAAAAGAACTATTTAAAATGTGATCTGTTCACACTGCACACAAAATAGGGTTAGCTATGTTCACTCCGCCTGGCACTGCAGACCAGAAACACTTTTGGAAAGAAATCACCAGCTGTGTCTCAATTCAGGGGCTGCATCCTTCGGAGGACCCAGCCTTCGCGGTCTACATGGACCACATGCTTTGAGGGCCGCGAAGGCTAGACGGTGCGGTCTCCGAAATCAGACGGTCTACGCTACAGAGGACTTCCTGTTTGCGTCACCAGCTGTTCCCCCCCCCCC